CCTTAGAGTCATGACTCGAAAAAAGATTTGTTCGTTTTGATGAACGAGTTTAAACAGGAGAGTCACGAACACTCATCACAGTACAGACTTCAATGCATGCTGTTGATGCCATTAACACTGTATTCGTGCAGAAAAACAATGAATTTCGCAAGAGTACCAAGAATACTCACACAAAGGCACTGTTTTATAAAGCGGGAATGAGCAACAACAGAGATAAAAAAGGAGGAAAATGTGTTGTGAATACCTTTAGTCACTATTACATTCCTGTTTGCTTGTACTGTAAGCCTTGCTCACTTAAATGACTTCCATTATCCTAAACATGGCTTCAGGAAAGCGTTTGTATATAATCGGATTCAAATTATTTCTTTCCCATCTCGGCACAACCGGTGAGACGTTTCTCCAAAGCTTTCAGTAAGGTTTAGTATATGTCCCAGCATTGTGAAAATGATAAGTTACCTTGATTTAAAGGCGTGATCTTTCTCGCGGAGACCAAATGTTGCTTAGCTCTGCATCGGTCATGCAGACTCTCGCTTGAATACTTACAACTCTATCAATTTTCGCATGTATGAAAAAGCACAGGACTGCAACACTTTGACATAAATCTCCATTTTTCCCTCATAAAATGTTCCCCTGAAGAGATAGAGGTGATGATTGGAATAGCTATCTATCTATCTATCTATCTATCTATCTATCTATCTATCTATCTATCTATCTATCTATCTATCTATCTATCTATCTATCTATCTATCTATCTATCTATCTATCTATCTATCTATCTATCTATCTATTTATCTATCTATCTAGCTATCTATCTAGCTATCTGTCTAGCTATCTAGCTATCTGACATTGTCATGTTGTGTTGGTGTATGGGTTTGCTGTATTTAATATAAAGCTAAATTTTAAACACATTCCATGTTATTTTATAATTATTATGACCTTACCTTGATTGGGAAAGTACATGTAATCTAGTTTAAAGTATAAATTCCAAATTCCAAGACATCACGGGACATCATTATTTTGGCATAATATATGTTTCATATTTGTATAATGCAATGAAGTATTACCTTCAAAAGTAGTGCAATTTTTACCTGTTGAAGATGTAGACTCAAGCAGTCGTCACATCTTGAAGAAAATTAAAAGTTATTAATTAACTGCATGTTTAGCGCTATGCAACATACTTGTATGATTTAAGTTCATAAAAATTGTCAATAAGATTATATATATACAGTGTTGTGCAAGTTACTTCCAAACTGTAATACATTAGGTATTACTTGTTACTGTTATTTAAAAGTAATTCATTACCTTACAATATTACTGTCTCAGAATTGTAATGCGTTACATTTCTCATGTATTACTTTTAAGTTACTTTTACCAAAATAACTAAGTAGTTATTACTTTGGGGCTGTAACGATATGCAAAATGAAACCGAAATCGTGATTCGCCACACGACTCAGATTCACGAACCTACAGAATCGCGACACACCTCTTCCAACTCCAGCGTTATTCTCCTTACTGTCCAGATCCAATGCTGCCTTATCTTTAAATTAGTCTATTAGTATTATTTGAAGTTAACATTATAAAATACGTAGACCTACACCACAAAACTAGTTGAGGATAAATTATTTAAAATTGGGGAAGTCCAGCATTATGGACATGACATTTGCAGTCAAAACTTGAAATAAAAATTCTCAGAAAATACATTGAAACGTATATAGGCTATTTCCTTAAAGGACAGACATTAGACATTAGACAAATATCAGTCTATGTTTTATTTTTAATATTAGGGAAAAGACACACATTCATGCGTGACAAAAAAAAATAGGAGGCAAAATATATTTTTGGTAATGCTGTTAATTACACTGCGCAAATCGGATGAGGAGAGGTTGGCATTTTAGTTTCCGTGTTCGCATTTATGAGGAAAAAACAATGTTACAGACGCGACCGCTCTGAACTGGCACAAAAAGACTGCTTTAAAACTTTCACATAGTCTGTTGCCTTTAAGAAGTAAAATACACTGTAATACAACTGTAATACAAGCCTGACTGAACATGTAACGAGTAAAATATTACTGAAAATTGATTAGTAATGCCTTACACTACTGTGTTACAGCAAAAAGTAATATGTTACTGTAATGTATTACTTTTGTAATGTGTTACTCCCAACACTGTATATATATATATATATATATATATATATATATATATACATATACATATATTATATTAGGGTTGTCAAACGATTAATCACGATTAATCGCATCCAAAATAAAAGTTTGTGTTTACATAATATATGTGGGTGCATTGTGTACAATTATTTTATATATATAAATACACACACATGCTTGTATATATTTAAGAAATATTTTCATGTATATATAGATTTATATATAATTTATATTATATATAAATATAAATATTTTACATTTACATAATATTTTCTTAAATATACATGCATGTGTGTTTATATATATATATATATATATATATATATATATATATATATATATATAATTATACACAATGCACCCACATGTATTTTGTAAACACACACTTTTATTTTGGATGCGATTAATTGCGATTTTATATATATATATAAATATATATATATATATATATATATATATATATATTATATATATATATATATGTACATTATTTCCTTGATTTTGGAATCATATAGGACTAAAGACATGCGGTTGGTGGGCATTTTGTGTTGTATTTTTGTCAGGTGTTTTTTTTTTTTTCATACAGAATTGAATTAAGTGTAATGCTGAGTTGCTTTGTGAAGTGCCTTTAAACCCTTAAAGGATTATTGTTAGACTCAAAGCTTATGTATAAAATGAACATGCCAAAAATAACCACAAAACAGACATGAATAGACCAATGATTTCAACATTCTGGCAGTTTAAAGCACACAGTTTCCTACATTAAGTGAATTACTGCCAGTAACCTGGCATCCTAACAGTACAATTGTTATAAAATAGAAAGGATTATTATTAAATAATCACAAGAGTAAGACAAGATAGTTTTGGTTTTTGCCAAATTGTCATATTTATAATTATTTGGAATTAAACCCTCAAATCACAAACTTGTGGTCAAATCTGTTTAGTGTTATTTTGCTACCCTAAATGTTTCAGTACCATGGACAGCGCAATGTTTCGGCTATTTAAAGTCATTAGTTCCTCCTCGTACAATTGCCTAGAAACCGAGTCTATCTTGAGCCTAGCGTAATTCATACACCCACAGACTCCTCCACAGAATGTGTGTCTTTCAAATTTCACCCAGACCGGAAGAGCCAAGTGAGTAACTAGAGAACAGATGCAACTAAACGGAAAATAAATTGTCTTCTCTCTGGTAGAAAACATATTCAACTTCCAGTTCCAATGATGCTAACGTAATGCTGCTTCTATAATGTCATATAGTCAATGAGTGGATGAATTGACCACATATTGAGTGGATCAAATCATATAGGTTTGCTGACATGGTAACCCATAGTAATCTATTCCACAATGTCCTGATAAATGCCTGGAGTCAGTGGCTATTGGCTTGCTGTCGATGTGGTGAGACAGCACAGGGCCACACTTCGTCTTCCATGAGCGAATCAATCCAGCCTGATTTATGTTGTACACATATCTGCAGCTAAATATGATTCAAAACTGAGGGTCATTTGGTATGCATGCAATGCTTTTGGATCATCAGTTAATGTACATTTCAGCTACTTCGAAATGTCATGAAATTTTTAAGCGAATCATACATTTTCATAAATGAATATATATGATATGGTATCATATTGCCCTTTCCAACCCACTTTTATAATGAAAGTTATTATGCATGCTATCCATGCATGTTAAAAAGGGTGAGTTTTAAAGCTTAATTAAACCTTGAAAAGAGAGCAATTGCTGCAGTTTAATTATGAGATGCGCAGAGACAAAATCCTCCATAGTCTTCCTCAGGGAAGAGTAACTAAAGGTGTCATGTTATACAGCCTCCGGAAAAAGGCTGTATTTGTTATGCATCGATAATTCAATGATATGATTTTATATTAGCCTACACTACAGTATCAACTGGTTATATAGACTAGTTTTGAACTACAGTGTTGTTGACTAACTGATTTTGTTATATCAGATATGAAAATTGTACACAAGATAAACAATGTAATCAAACATTGATCAGTCAACCGAATCAGCTTATTTTCCCCCTTTTAAATGATTTATTATCAAGCTAAGTTGTAAGATACTAGCCTATATCAGCCTGCGATCTTTAGATGTAACCACAGCTTTATCAACCGAGATGTGTAAGCATTAATAAATAGGTGAGATGTCTATTCTATCATTTTGCTAGCCAGAGAAGGAGAAATTGGCTGCTACCATCCAGTCAGCTTTCACGGGGTGGTTAACGGTTCCGCTCGTTTTTTCTCTGATGTTTATGTATCGGAGGAAGAATATTGCGAAAACAAACGCTATATAATTGGATAAACTAAAGATATTTACAGATAAATCCCGTAACCAGGATGAACGGACAAGAAAAGAGGACTATTTCTGAGGCATCTCCCCCCTCCGCTGTAGCGCGAGGCAGGAGGCAAGAGAGTATCAATCTGATGCCGTGCGCCGTTTCTAGGCTGTTTTTCCCCTCATGAAAGCGTCCAAAAGCCGCTAATTACTAAAGCGAGTGGAAATACACACCGATTCCGAGAGATAAGAGAAAGCCGAATCAGAAAGTGAGGAGCAGCGTCAAAGGGAACCACAGGTTCGGCTTTATTTTGCTCTGTGTGGTGTGAGTGTATCTGCGAGCAGTGAGTCCTTCAGCGCCACAGAAAGAGCCTTCAGCCAGCGCTTCAGTCGCACTCAATACGATGTGCACTGAAATTGCGTTTACTTTCTGTCGCTTAAGTAAGAGTGAAGTGGGTGAGATGAGAGAGTACTGTTGAGAATTCCGAGCGACGGATTCACAGAGGGTGGAAAAAGCTTGTTAAAGCGATTTAATCTTCTCTGTGTTGTGTAGGAACGATTCTTGGGGCAGCTGGAGCTCTAAAGGATGCAGAACTGTGCTCACCGATGCATCCCACACCAAATGCTTATGTGATCGGCTATCTACCTTCGCCATTTTGGCTCAACAACCCAGAGAAATAGTAAGTATTGAAATTGACTTCTACGGGGGATCATGAGATGCTGTAGGCTATTGATTGAAGTGCGTGTGTGGTTTTCAAAGTGATATTTAATTTCTGACTTCAATTATGGCATAATTTATTAAGATAGAAATCTACCTGTGCAGAGCTTGTGCAGCCTGTGTGTGTGTGAGAGAGAGATTCTTCTGCGATTAATTGCTATTAAATTATTCCTATAGTAGGCTATATCGTTTTATCATTTATTTAAGCTCCCCCTTCACATATTGATGTAAACTGAGGGTAAAAAAAACAAACAAAAAACAAACAAACTATCATGACTATCATAATCTCCATTTTGCCTTTCCTAAATGTTGCTCAAAGCATTTGTATATGTTCATAGAGATGGCATCTGCTGTAGCCTCTTCATTAGTGAGATTAAATAAGCTATTTAGGCTATATGAATAAAATAATTCTTGGCGTTGAGATATTATGCAGATATTCCTGGATTGTGCCAATAAATTATGGCTTTCGTATTATGTAATAATGGCTTCAACCTATTATTAAAGTTCCCCGTCTCATTGATGTAGATTAATGTAACCGTATAATATGAATCTACCTTTTACCTTTGCTATTTGCATAAGCTTCACATTTGAGATAAAATGCCATCAGCTGTGCTCTATATTAGTAGATTCAGCAGACAGCAAAACATGGCTGTTTTATTCTACAGAGTAAGAGGCAGCCATTTTTTCTTTACCCATGTGACCAGTCAGTGAATAAATGGCTCCCGTGTGAAAATTATGGTGTTGTCTGCGTCTCAGTGATGCAGCAGGGGCAAAGTTTGATAACTCCTATCATTGCAATGCACGGCTGATATGTCACAATGACTTGTGACTCCCGGGAGCTGGATTGAGGGTGTTGTCAGGTGGAATTCTGGGGGAAAAGACATAAATAAATGGACTAGCTGGGATATGCACTGCCAGTGCTTATAATAAGGCTTGTGAACCTAATACAAGCAACTACTGTATTTAAGATGATAGGAAGTTATAGGCCTATACTGTATGTGTATGTGGACTAGGGATGGCTCGATACCACAATTTTGGCTTCGGTACGATACCAGAACCCAAGAGTCTAAATTTAAGTGAATTGAAACAATTTTATTAAACACTGCTTGAAACTCTCAACTACCATATGTGCAAAGAAAAGTATAAAAAAAACGTATCAAAATGTAAAAAATAAACAAATTATGTGTAGGTAAAATTTTGATTTGGGGAAAAAAAACACTGATATTACACAATTAAAATAGGTTAATATAATAGATTAACATAATAGAATAATGAAATGATGTAAACCATTAGCGGTCATGCATCAACAGAGAATTATCAACATTTATTGCATTTATTCATCTTGGTTTGGTTACTGTTTGTGTTTGGGTTCATATTATGCTTATAATGGATTGCAAAAAGTAATGTTATGATGCTAAACATATATTAGGATATTACATTTTAGGTCATTTTATTAGTGACTGATCTAGATTATTCAATGCTATATTGTTAGGCCAGGATCCTAAATGAATGTTGACAAATGTAGCTTAATTGTAGGCTAATATTATTCATATTTATTTTACTACCATCTCTCTCTCTCTCTCTCTCTCTCTCTCTCTCTCTCTCTCTCTCTATCGCCACAGCCCCAGTAATGCCATTCATTTATAACTTTTATGCTTTATTAATTCAAATTAAATGAATATATTTGTTTGAAATAAATTGCAAAAATGAGATCATGAGACGTAAAATGAGATCATGACGTAAACTGAATTGGTTCTAGCGTCATGCAAGAAGATTTGAGCTTTCGTGTTTACCATATTGATAAGCTCTTAGTCTTAGGTATGTGCGCTGTTCAGTATTCAATAAAAGTCTAAATTAAATCAGTTGAATGATGAACTCACCAGTCGATCTCTTGAACAAGTCAGGATGAGCAACTGACGAGCGCTTTGGCAGATTTGATGTGTTGCCTTCCATGGCAAAAAAAAAAAAGCAAAAATTGAAAAGCAAAGTTTGCAGAGTGGTGCATTGAGGTCTGTATCTACACTATTTTTATTACTTTAGTAGGCAAAGTAATGCCTTATTTCACTAATACTGCTCTCTCTATTTAATAATTTCGGGCGTGTAAAAACCCGAATGAGCTTCATTTCCACCGTGTTCCTTCGTTTGCCGGTTTCGCGTGACTCGCGTCAGTTTCGGTAGCGCACTGCCGCCTAGTGGAGAACTTCGGAACAGCAGCTCATCAAATACCGAATTTAACAAAATGATGATATTGTACCGTTTGAAATTTATTATATACCGGTATTTTTGCAATACCGGTATACCGCGCATCCCTAATGTGGACACAATATATGTACACACAATATGTTCTGAGATTCTAAATTGTGTTCAAAATGATGGTCAACATCAGTGATGTATGTTTAAACATCATTTAAACACCAACACTAGAGAGTAGAGACTTTATAGTTGCCGAGGCAGTATAAAATTGATAGGATAAATTGTAACAAATCAATATGTGGGCAAAAGTCCCTCCTCAGTTTAAAGAGCCAATCACATTTTTGATAGACAAATGAAAGTCTCCATCCTACTTTTTAAAGACCCAATCACTCTTTTGATTGAAGCATTTTTTGTTTGTTTGTTTGTTTGTTTGTTTTTTTGTTCACACTTGAATGCAACGACCATTATGTACCACTATTTTTCATGATTTGAACTAAATAATCTATTAATTTATTGGCCGATTGTTGTCATATTTTTTGTTCGCACAAACTTTGTTGCTTTATTTTCCTGTTATCTTTGTAAAGCTGCTTTGAAACAATCTGTATTTTAAAAATCACTATATAATAAAGGTGATGACTTAACTTGGTATTTTAAAGGTTGTATCAGCGATGTGCGAGTTAGCTCGCCCCTCCCTCCCATTTCGTGCATCATGCAATCCCTGCAATCGGATATTCGCTAGAGCTATCCAAGTTTAGTCGAGCTTCACTCATATTTTTTTAAAGTATTATATTTCACACATAGTTCACTTACAAAAAAAAGTCAGCACGAGAATTTACTCACCTGTCCAGAAGAAAAAGCGCAACCTCGGCGTCCGATTTAAAAATGTTCAATTCTTTGTGTTCTCTCCACCTTCCCGATTATTATTTGCTTCTTTGACGAAAAACGACGGTATCGCCCTAATCCTCCTTCTCTTCTTGGGGATTGCCTCTTCCATGTTAAAGGGGTCATGAACTGGCTTTTTAAACTTTTTTATATTGTTGTCTGAGGTCAGCTTGGTTTTTACATTAAAAAACATCAAAATAAATAAGTAATAGGCTATTTTCTACCCTAGCTTTGAGCCCAGCTCAAAAACGCTCGGTTTTTATGGGTGTTCGCACTGAAGACTTGGAAGTAAACACCCACTGCTGTGAGTGGATAACAGTTTTGCATATTATAATGAGTTTCACTCTCGACACGAGGTAGGCCTATGTTATTTATCTATGCGTGTAATGCACGAATCGGTGGGCGGGGCTAAACCGGCTGTGTTGAAGTAGGCGTTGATCTTCTGCGGGGGTGGTGTTATATCCCCTTTGACGTCATCGTTCCCCACTTTGAAAAACGAGTCGTTTGCTGGGGCTGGTGTCAATAAAAGCTTTTATTGGACTAATAAGGATGTTTTCAGTAACATTGAAACGTACAGAATATTCTTATAATATGACGACCTTTTAAATGTCAAAATTTCAATGAAAATTTGATATCTCAGTCCATCACCCCTTTAAATGTGGTGCATTGATAGCTTATAGGGTTGATAGAGGCTGGCTTATTCTTCAGCTGCGACTTTGCGTGCAGGCGCCGCGCACGAGCGAAAAAACAACACCCACCTCTTTCGGTGATTGGTTAGAACACTGTTTATTTTGATTCTGAGTGGTGGTTGTAGCCATTTATTTTTGTGTGCAGATCTCAGAGCCTAGGCGGGCGGGCATGGGGCGGGCAGCTAGCGGATCGTTAGGAAAGATTAGATGAATTTGATAATTTTTGTTTGGGCCTGAAATCGCTGATACAACCTTTATTGTGTCATTCTAATGTGCTAACATGTTATGCGAATGTAATGGTGACTTTCCATTTTGGAGGTTTTCTGATTCAAGGATACCTACCAAATGACCTCAAAGTGGACTGGTTTGGTTTAAAAGAGATTACGTATTTCAGTTAATTATGGCTTGTCACATTAAGCACCCACCTGTTGATAATGAGCACTATTCATTTGAATGGGGGCAAAACACCTTTTATTTATGTAAAGGGGAGATTGAATGGGGACAAATGAATTAGAGACCAAAAAAGCTTTTGCTTTAATCCTCTGAATTTGTGCGGTATAAATGGCCAATGCTGCAACAAGCTAGTGTGCTGTAATGTGCTTTATTACAAGGCACTGAAATGGGCTTTTATTAGTGGTACATGGGTTTGAAAATCACTCACCGAAGCTCTTGTGTGCCATTCACAGGCTATGGAGTACTCAGGGGTTCCATCTGTGACACTAATAGTGGGCTGTGGTCTGTCCTGTCTGGCCTTGATCACACTGGCCGTGGTGTATGGTATTCTGTGGAGGTAAGTGCGTTGATGTGCAAGGGATATTACCAATTATGCCATTGCGCTTTTGGGAGAATGCAACTTTGATATGCCATTTCTTTTTAGGTACATCAGGTCAGAGAGGTCAATCATTCTGATCAATTTCTGCCTTTCAATCATCTGCTCCAACATCTTGATACTAGTTGGACAGACGCAGACACATAATGCGGTAAGTATTTCAATTTTGTCTCTGTCTCCAATGTATTTTACTCCGATATTGCCAGATAAGATTGAAATCGCAATGAAGGCCACCAAGCATTTACTGAGAATTTGAGCGTTGATTTGTTCTTGAACAAAATGTCCACTCTTCTCATGTTTCTTTCTCGGCTTGCGTGTGGGCTGATTTTGTAAGCTTGTCTTGCATGCCAGACGGCTTCTCTGCTCTAATATTATGTCGATCTAGACGTTCACGGGTTTATAATGTAAACTGGTTTTACTCAATAGTGGTGAAGAGCTTTCTGTCTGCTTTTTGTATATCATACGACCCTGCCAGATTGTTTTATTCCTCTATTTTGAGGCATTGTGACTCACTTAAATTCAAGCTGGCTGGCCTAATTTTTTCTTAAGTGACCTACCTACCTATCCAGATGTTCGAGTTTTTGTGTAGTGAGCTGGATATTCTGTTATATGCTGTTGTGTTTGCATAAACAAATTGCATTCTTTTCTTGTGGTAAGTACATATATATTTTCCAGTTTAGGTTCATTTAGCAAATGTCTAGAATAGGGTCATTTAAACTGAACCCCAAAGAGCCAGGCCATGTATTTAGCAGTATTTGAAGCCCAAGTTATGATACCACTGATGTTGGATTGTATTTCTTTATTGCTGATTTGAAATCTGTAAGACATTAGCCTTACGATTTTAAATGGTTTCCGCTGTGCATTCAGAAAAGCATGAGCTTCTGTTCACCATTGTTTATAAGTATACTAGATTATATTCTTAAATTAGTACTCAGCAAGCCATGGCAGTTATTTTTAGCAAGTGAGTACATCGCTCTGTGTCCAATGCCAAGGAGAAATGATGATGATGCCTCTTATGTTCAGAGCCACTAGATGCATTAGCCAGAATCCAGCTGGCTGCAGTCTGAATTATACAACACAAATGCAAAATGGACGGACACAGGTACGAGACCAGAAATATCGTGTCCATGTGACTAAACTTTTTTGCTCTTGAGTTTGTAATTCCACAAACGAGACCTAAAACTTTTGCGCTTCGAATTATTGATGTTGTTTCATTGTTCCCGCTGAGATGAGTGAGTTTTGACGTCAAAATCTAAACTACGCCAACCTCTTTCCAAGTGATCGGCTTCCCTAAAGACTAAACGGTCTTTCAGTTTCAACATCAGTTTTGTTCAGCTAAGGAAGCGGGGATACTTGATACTCACTGATACGAGTAATAAAAAAAAATTCAATTATTTGCCAGGCTTAAACTAAAATTCATCCTGTTTGTGATGATTAGTAGATATGCATCACAGTAAACTTGAAGCAAAAGTCCTTTAGTGTTCACAGTCCAAATGGCTCAGTTATATAACTCTGCAATACCCAGACTCAGAGCCCACGTGAATATGAACATTTGTTGTGAATGGAACGTCTACATTTCAGGATCCAGGTAGGGTGAAAGCATTTTAAAGCTCTTTACATGGCTGCAATTCATTTTAAATAGGACTAAATAGGCTCCCAGCTAGATGGCAACGCTCAAAATGATTTCTTTTTTCCAGATCATTGTGAGGAGATGGTGTATATAAGTCATTCAAGATGTAATTAGAAGATGCAGATCCTGATCAGTAGATTGTAGAGTCAAATTTTCTCACATTCACCATTTCAAATTCAACATCAGGGATGATTGGATATGGGAAATTGCTGAACTTTGGAAGAACAAAGATTAATTATTCACTCTCACGCTTACAAATGACTCTCATTTGCCCTCGTTTGAGTAAACAAGATAAAAGAGGTTGATTTCTCACTGCTTACAAGCTTGTCAGGACTAGCACAGCTGGTGGTTTTTGGTTATCATCAGAGGAGGGTTTACACAGAGTGAAACGTTATTCCTACGCTGCCCACACAGATAGGGCTTCTGGGTGAGTCAACGCTGCTGCGGTAATAACACATTACTCAGTCACACAGTCAGGCATTTCAGTGGAGTTTTTTTTTTTTTTTGTTCTTTCTCAGGCAGCTCAATGCATGAGCTTTTTTCCAATTCTAATTCTAATGAGCGTTCTGAGATGGAAGGAAGTCAATTCCCAAGGTTAAAACAAATGAATTTCCTGTTACATTAAACTGATCAAAATAAGCCTTTGACTGTAGCTCTGTTCCATCACCTGGTGAGATGCTTGACTGGTGTTCTTCTGATTGCACAATTGAGGGCGTATGGGTTATAAAAGCGTTCCTTAAGGACAAACTTAAAATAATTTTAATTAAACTGGCTTTATTTGTTCCATGCAACCCTTTCACACTTAAGTTTAAAATATTCTGACTGACCCGTGACCTCCCAGCGTGAGTTTTTCAAGGCGACCGTTATTTCGAACTTGCCACTTTAATGTTTCCATGGTGATGCGTCATTGCTTGTCACGTGACACAGCACAACCACAACACAGCGCTGAATGAATGAGGATCTGCTTTTATGTCATTTTTCCTTTTTTATAAAAAATATTCACAAATGTATAGCATGAAACACTTATATTCTGATTGTCAAAAATGTGCAAGTGGATGGGTTTTGTTGTTTAACTATCTTTATAACGATCGCGTTAGTTGAGCTGTATGCACAATGGGCGGCGCCATTTTAGTTTGTTTTACAGTTCAGAGAATCGGATCTGTTGGATTTACAACGTCAATTCCCCCACTTCTCACGAAATACATGAAAGTAAGTGGCTGGTGAACTGGGAGAATAGGGTCAAATGTTAAGCTACTTACACACTGTGTATCTGATATGAATAAAACCTGTCGTCTTATTATAGGATTATCATTGCCGCTTCCATAGACATCAGTGTGGATTTTACAAACCCAAAATCATTGTTTTGCTAGTACTTATGTGTATTTAATGTGTAATCATACCGGTGTGATCGTGGGCGTGAAAGGGTTAAAAGACCAATGTGTTTTTTTTTTTTGTTAATGTTAATTTCAAGATTTACTAATAAATTATTCAAATCAAATGTTGTTTTTGTTCAAATAAGTTAATGCACTGTGAATTAACATGGACAAACAATGAACAGGTGGATTTTTATTAACTAATGTTTGCAAAGATACAGTAAAACAAACAAATACAGTAAAAATGTATTGCTAATTGTAAGTTTATGTTAGTTACCATAAATCAGTGTTACCATAAATCAGAATCAGGCATGTGCTTAGGACACCAACATTTGTGCAGAAAACAGTCTCATACAAGTCATACTGTAGTTTCCAAAATCTTCATATTTATTTAAACCTCAGTAGTTCTTCAGGTATAGATCAGTTGCAAGGTCTGTGTTTAAATATATATAGCCTATGGATTTTTAAGGAAGACTACAGGAATGAAGTCTCTCCGTTTTTTTTTTTTTTACAGTATATTTAAGATAATTCTAAAATCATTGAAAACAAAGTTTTTTACAGCACTTTTATGAATGTAAAACTGTGCAAAGAAAAGATTTTAAAAAATGTATTAATTATTGTATATTTTTTTCTTTGCCTAGAATAACATTCACAATATATATATATATATATATATATATATATATATATATCCTATTTTTTATTTTTTTTTACAATAATCGGAGTAAGGACTTAATTGCAGTAAAATGTTTACATGACGCAAGCAAAACTCTTCACTCCTGTTTACATTTTTTAATATTGTGATTATTCACTAAGAAGTGTGTTAATTTTAACACCATGTTTTACATACCCCAATGCATAGCACAAATAATGAATTTGTTCCTGTTTATTATGATTAAAATCAGCGTACGCCATATATTTTCATGCAGTTGTGGTTACTACGATTGAGCTTAATCGCTTTAATTTGATTTAAGTATTGTGTTCACATTAGGTTTTACAACAATATTGGCAAAATAATCACAAAATGAGTGTGCATGTAAACGTAGTCGATGTACAAAATTTTGTATCAGTGCTTTTCAGTTTTCTCTCCATACATCCACTATCTTGGATGAATAATTTCTCTATTAAACTGAATAGTTTATTGCAGTTTATTCTGTTAGTTCATTATTCGTGAACAGAACATGTGACACTGCCTTTAGAATGGAGCCAAACGAGATATCTTGAAGGCAGAATAGTTTTGCTGCATACATTTTGTAACAGCTTTTTGTGTGTGGGAGCGTATGCTTATAATGCCTAAAGGTTTTGGAACAGAGCTTTGGTGCCTTCATGGGATTTTTGCCATTACACATGCCGTTTATAACAATGATTAGACACGAATCTGCTTTAATTTGTTGAGGTATGATTTAAGAATGCTCAGTGTAAGTCTTGATGACAGCAGTGCAGCAGGTCCGGTCCTTCATTAATGGACCCTAATTACATCTGGACCTCTGCTCTGTCCACTTCTAAGGCACTTCTGATGTTCATCATTTTAAATGGTCAGTGTGTCTGTTACCATGACAATAAAATGCCATTCTCTTGTGTATCACTGTCTTGCCAGTTCTTTTTGCAGCCATTTGCCACGCTCTCTCAAGTAGCAATTTAGAGTAATTCCTGCTTCATCACACTGGTGAAGACGATGGATATGTGTCTCAGAGGGTGCAGGTTTGTACCTCCAGATGAAGGTCACGCATATGACGTGACGGCCATGCTAGAGAGAGCACTCAGCCTGCGGCTTGTCTGAACGTTGAGCTGATCTGAAGGCCTGTCAGTGCTGATCATAAACAATGCCATCTTCCTTTTTAATTCCACACCACGTCATTTTACATTTAGCATGAGGGAGGATTCAACATTTTCCCCAAATGAATGCAAATCTGCTTTTCTGTTTATAATAATAATAATAATTTGTTTACATTTATATAACGCTTTTTTGGGTACCCAAAGCGCTTAACACATAGAACGCCCACCACACACCGGCTTACTGGTGGAGAGGAGACAGATGGATAGAGCCAATGAGTATATATGGAGATAATTAGGAGGCCATGATGATGGACAGAGGCCATGGGGCAAATTTGGCCAGGATACACCACTACTCTTTTGTTTCCCCAAAGG